TCATATAATCACCTATAATTATAACCTCCTTATCATCCACATCCTTCTCTTACCCTTTTGTTTTCATTCCCTCTAATACTTCATCTGCAAAAGCCAAGGGCTGAAATATGTTGTTCAACAGAATAGGCTCATTATAGCTAAATTAACTACTTTTTACTCTAATAGTACTCTTTCTAACTTCCTGAAAGTCATTATTAGCTAATGTATCCCTTGCATGTAAAAGCCTAAGCTCTTCCTGAAATTCTGCCACCATTTCCCACAGTCTACACCGTCTCTTTATCTATTGCCTCTACTTTAATTAGCATAGCTTCAAACTTTTCCAACTTACTAACAAATTGTACATGTTCACTACTAGCTTCCTTAAAAGTACATGCCAGTCTGGAGTTCCCAAATCAAACTCACTCATTGCACCCATTACACCTAAACAACTGTGAACGCTTAACTCCTACACTAGTCTTAACCATTGTATTTATACTTATAGTTATAGCATAAAAATAAATACTCAATACCATGTACCAGTAGCCTATTGTTAACACTGTTACTGTTAAGCCTAACGTTTAAGAACCAATTATTTTTATCACTTCTTTGTCTTCACACTAAACAACAAAGTCTATCTTTAATTATATAGAACTTAGAAATAGAGCTTAATAATTTAGTAGAACAATATATGTAATGTTAATAATAAAATGTATTTAGCCTGATTTATATTATAACTTACCTATATCTAGTATTAGCTGAATTGAAACTAATGTATCGAGGTTCAAGTAAACAAGTTAATCTTTAAAACACGAAAAAACAATAAACTAGTTTTAGATTGTATTTGTTTAATAAAACAATGTATTTATCCTGTTTTACAATTTACCAGTAAGTTAAATATACCTAAGCCTAAAGTACCGTTACACAAACTAAGCCTATTTTAACGTTGTAGTAAAATTCATACCACTAAACTCTACGTTAAACTTTGACCATTTTACTTTTATTTACCAGTCTTACTACATCTAGTTATCATTGAGTTATTTAACCCAAATTACTACAAATTATAATATTAATATTAAATAACTTTTAGAAACCGATAAGAGCTTAACTTTTCAACGTCCTCCTTCTTTAGTCGCGCCGTTTACAATCATATGCATGAAATTAAGACTAAATTAAAAGTGTCACAAAACTCATAAAATGTTCAATAGCATATCATGGCAACCATGGTGTTATTATTACGCATGAGTTAGACTGGACCAAAACGAATAACAACACAAAAAAACAAACACCTTTGCCTAATACCGCAGTTAATGCCAAATCCAGTGTCTTGTTAAAATGCTGTTATACATTATTCTTACTATGGACCTATAGAGAATGATGTGGTATAAACTGTTTTTAGA